CTGTGCACTCGTCTCTGACTTGTCTAAATGGTGATGAAAAATGTCTCTTCAAGCCGGGCACCACCTCTCAATGTCTCTCTCGGCTGTGTCATTCATCCATCATCTCTCTGACTTTAACTCAGAATCCTTTAAAAAAAATTTTTTTTTATTTGAGAGCGAGAGAGGGAGTGCAAGCAGGGGAGGGGCAGAGAAACGGGGGCAAAGAGAACGATAAGCAGGCTTCACATGCGGCTGGGAGCCCGATGAGGCGCTTGACACGGGGCTCAAGCCCACGACCCTGGGATCATGACCTGAGCTGAAATTAAGAGTGGGGTGCTCACCTGACTGAGCCCCCCCAGGTGCCCAACTCTGAGAATCCTTGAACTTGAGCAATTGTCTGCCTGGTTAGCACTACGATTACCGATTACCGTGAATGCAGTAAATGTGTGCACAGACACCGTTTGCTGAGCTAGATGGGGGGCCCTGCCCTGGAGGACCCCAGGCATGTGGGGCTGTGGTGTCTCGCAGCCCCTTCCCTGTCACAGGGCTGCTCTGTGACAGCTGTCCTCACGGGCCGCCTCCCAGTGTGGCCGGGGATGAGGGCCCACACAGGCGCGAGCGGATCCCCCAGGTTCCTGGTGGGGGTGGGGGTGGGGAGCTCTGCACCTGAGCACCGTGTTCTTCCGGCTGTGAGTGTAGACAGCTGCGGGGCGTGTGCTGGCCCGGAGCCCAGCAGAGCGATTTTGCTCCAGGTCCTGGGCTCACAGGGGTTTAGACGGGTGTTGCCTTCCCTTCTGTGTGAACAATTTGTTCACCAGCAGGTGTTGGTGAGCAGTGACTGTCAGGCTGTGCATGTGTTGGCAGCAAAGACGGGGAGGAAACCAAATTCCTGCCCCCCCCCCCCGCACACCCATAGTGATGTGGGAGGTGAAGATCAAAGTCGCAGGTAAGTGTGAAGCGGCCCGTCCCACCGTGTGCAGTAGGGAAGGCTGGCGGGTAGAGGTGGCCGGACGGTCCACGTGAGGGACAGAGAGGTGCACCTGGGAGCTGTCAAAGCAGACGGCTGAGCAGCGGGAGGCGAGACAGTGAATGTGGGGAGAGGAGCCAGGACGGCGGGGGGTCTCCCCCAACTTCTGCCCCGTGCGCCCGGGGACCCCGGGACCGCCATGGAGACGCCGGCATCTAATCTATCTTTTGGAGTTTGAACCAGATTCAAGGGCACCGCTCTTTCGAAATCCTAAGTCGTTGAGGGTGGGGGATGGGCCGGCTGGGGGATGGGCACTGAGGAAGGCACTGGCCGGGATGAGCACTGGGTGTCGAATGTAGGTGATGAACCGCTGAGTTCTGCCCCTGAAGCCAGTATTACACTATTTGTTAACTGACTCGGATTTAAGTAAAAGAAAAAAAGAAGAGACCCTAAGACATTGAAAGTGAGGTGGACTTTGGATTTTGTGTTCTTATCAGGAGCGACGTTAGGTAATTGTCATAAAAGGAAAGGCCATAAAACATGACATCCCGGTAGTGAGGCTCTGCTCGTTCTCGGGGCGCTGACCCCCACCAGCTCCGTTTACGGTCCCGAATCCTCGTGGGGCAGCCCTGCGTCACGGCCAGTGTCAGCGCACCCCTGTGCCCAGACTCCCCGAACCCGCGACAGAGCATGACTCAAAGGAACTCGCACGACCGGGCCCGGGCCCTGGCACAGCCCCAGGAGGAGCCACAGAAGGAAGGGGTGAGCAGGCCGGGCCGAGGTCGGGGCGCAGCCCCGAACCACCGCCGCACGTGGCTTACAGCAGGATATCGAACACGCTGCATTTCGCTGTAACATTTACAAGTAGGGAGACTGAAAACCACCATCCACTGAGCGCATTTCCCACCGGCCGGCTTGGGCACTGCGCTCTAACGTGTCCCCACCGGGGCCCAGGGAGCGTCGCCCTCCTGTAAACCACCCCCCGGGCCCCGCGGCCTCGAGCACCTGCCCCACCGTGTCTCGCCCCCCTCCTCGTGGCCTCAGGGCATCACGCCCACCCTGCCCTCAGCCCCCCGAGACCCCTGCAGAGTCGCTAAGAGGCCGTTTGATTGAAACCTCACGTGTTGCCAGGTTTGCAAGGGGTAAAGGACAGTGTCGTGCAAATGGGAAGGGCGGCCCCGGGCTCCGGACGGACAGACGTGTTCCCAGTCCAGCCAGGCGGGGAGTTTTGGCGTAGTCCTGCCCGAGACGCTGGCTTTCCAACGGTGGCAGGGACCTGCGGTCGGGCACCCCCTGCCCTGCGCCCGCCGCGGAAACTTCTGGAGGCGGGAGTCACGCTCGGGCAGACACCTGCAGAGCGTCCGCTCACAACCCAGCCCTGCCTCCTGTCAGCACTGTTTTCTGCTTTCACTCCTCAGGGAGCGTGCGGTGCACACGGCGGAGGGCACCAGCGCGTCAGCTTGGGGGCCTCTCACAGACCCAGCACCCCTGGCGATCAGAGCCCAGATCAGAGCTGGATCGCGGGCCCCGGGAGCCTCCCCGGGCCGTGTCCAGCCAGCGGCTGCTTCTCAGAGTTGTCTGTTCGCAAAGTTTTGTACCTCATGTAAATGGATTTTGTGTTACCTTTTAATTGCCCTTCCCGCTATACTTTAAGTTTACCGTAAAATGCACAGGAGATAGCACTTTACCTTTGCTCAGAAGTGCAGATGAACAGGGCTGCCTGGGGGGCGCAGGGGGGTCGGCGTCCGACTCTTGATATTGGCTCAGGTCATGATCCCAGGGCTGTGAGACTGAGTCCGGAGCCAGGCTCTGCACCTTGCGTGGAGCCTGCTTAGGATTCTCTCTCTCTTTCTCGGTTTCTCTCTCTCTCCGCCCCTCCCCACTGTGCACATTCACATGCTCTCTCTCAAAACAAATAAACATGAAAACAAACAAACAGGGGGAGATGAAGTCACAGTGTGCTGTCAGGTACGTGCACGTCATCACTGGAAATACTGGAGGAATCATACTGTGGTGACTCAGCCCTAAAGCCTGGGACCCCAGGGTAGACATGGACCAGGGTGCAGTCTCCATGGTAACCAGGGAACAGCTGACAGGGAGTCGGGGTGGGATAGCAGCTGTTCCCATTTTACTTATTAAAAATTTCTTTTAATGTCTATTTGAGAGAGACAGAGTGTGAGAGGGGGAGGGCAGAGAGAGAGAGAGGGAGACACAGGATCTGAAGCAGCCCCAGGCTCTGAGCTGTCAGCACAGAGCCCCACGTAGGGCTCGAACCCACAAACTGGGAGATCATGACCCGAGCCGAAGTCGGATGCTCAGCTGACTGAGCCCCCCAGGCGCCCTGGGGGTTCCCATTTTAATTTCAACGGGTCCCAGTCAGGCTCTTTAGAACAGCCGTCTCAGGCGGGGTTCATACCCTCTTGGATCCCAGGACTGGTGGGACTAGAACACGGGCCCCTTCCACACAGAAGCCCCCAGGGGACAAAGCCAAGCCCCTCTGCTCACCCGTGTTCCAGGCCCCCGTGTGGTCCCGGGGGGGCGGGGGACGGGTGAGAACCGCCCCCAGAAGCAGCGCAGCCCTCCTGGGACACTCCTGGGGACGGCTGGGCAGGCTGTCAACCCCGGCGGCCCCTCCCTCCCCCTCCCCCGGCTCCGACTGCTGCCTGCACACGGTCCCAGGGGGAACGCGTCAGTGACACAGCAGGTGAAGGAGAGTGTGCCCGGGTCCGCCTGAATGTGGCTCAGCCACGAGTAAGATTTAGTATGAGCTGGTATGTGATAGCATGGTAGTGACTGGCGTATAGAATAATCGGAACCCAGTATTGTTTAAGACACTTTCTGCGGTTACTCGAGCTCCAAAGCGACCCCAGCGCTGTGTGCTCTCTGGAAGGTCGGGTTGTGTCCACGGCCCCCGCAGGGCAGAGGGGGTCACGGGGGACTCAAGGGAAGGGCTGCTCTTCATATTAAGGGGGGTGGTCAGAGAACATCTTCACTCCCTCAGGAGCATGCCACGGAGCCAGGCCAGGAGGGCGGCGGGCGGATGGTGGGGTCTGAGGCGCAAAGGGAAACTGAGGCAGGCTGGCTGAGCACAGGGACGCAGGGCAGAGGGTGACCATGCGTCTCCCCCGACTGGAGCAGGACGGGAGCCCCGGCTTCGTGAGCTGGTTCGTCCAGGAGGACAGGACAGTGACACAGTGACACCCCTTCAGCGCTTGAAGTGACCGAGGCACAGTCCGCCCGGCCGCCATGGCGATGGACCGCAGGCAGGGGCGCAACACAGACGTGTGTCCTCACAGGCTGGGGGCCAGGCGCCCAGAGCCAGCGGCCAGTGGAGGGCTTCCTTCTGACGTCTCTTCTCCAGGGTTGTAGGGGGCTGCTGTCCCACTGTGCGCTCCCAGGGTCTCCGGGGTGTGGGGAGGGAGGGAAGGGGAGGGAGAAGGAGGGAGGGAGAGGGAGGGGGAGGGAGGAGGGAGGGGGGAGGGAGGGAGGAAGAGGGAGGAGGGAGGAAGAGGGAGGAGGGAGGGAGAGGGAGGAGGGAGGAAGAGGGAGGAGGGAGGAAGAGGGAGGGGGAGGGAGGAGGGAGGGGGAGGGGGGTAGAGGGAGGGAGCACTCTGGTCTCTTCTCACCCGGACACCAGTCCCGCCCTATGAGGGCCCCCCACTTACACCTCCTTTAACCTCTAACCCCCTTTGTGCCCCGATCCCAAGTTCAGCCCCACCGGCGTTTAGGGCCTCAGCCGGTGGCTGGGCGCACAGTGTAGCCGCAGCAACCACTTCCCAACGTTTCGGGAGCCTTCGATGAGCCCTTCATATGCTCCCCTGCCAGACGGACAAGACTCAAGTATCAAAACTACTTCACGACAGGAAGCAGGAGCTTCACGAACGTGCTCAGGGTCCCGGTCAGAATGGTGTTTTATCGTGAGGGTGTTTTACCATTTGGATTTCTCCGTCTCGCACATAAGCACACAAGTCCTTTTACAGAATTCATTTCACTTTTATCCATTTCCATCCTCACATTCTTTATTTGAATTTACAAATAACGAAATTGCACTTCTCTTAAAATATTTTATAAATCAGATTTGCAATACATTACGTAGGCCTTACGCCTGTAGTTCTACATTAATGAGGTTTGATCATAATTTGCTTTGTGTGCGGAAGCAGATAATTGGGGGGAAAATGGGTATCCCTAAATCAAGACATTTTTTGGTCTTGAACACTGTTTTGTTGCATCTTCTAACTTCATGGATCTGGAGGGTGCGTGTCACCGGGCCAGCGACACGCGGGAGAGCCATCAGTCCCCAGGCAGTAAGCGTGCCCTGGGGGCGGGGGGTGCTGACGCCGGAGGCCGGCCTCACCCCTGCCCTTCCTCCCCTGTGCTCCCCCTGCCAGACGGCCTCCGACAGCCCCCTCTGCAGCCTGGAGAGAGTAAGCCGAGCCCTGTCCATCTCGCCATCGGACAGGCTGAAGCTTGGCCATCGGGAGGGCGCTTGGGGGCTCTCAGAACCGTTGGTGCCGCAGTCCGCACCACCCCCCGCTGCCTCGGGCCCTCCTGGTCGGTATCTGTGACTGCGTGAGGCGTCCTGCAGGGCAGCGAGGTCACCTGAGGTCACAGACACTGGCCTCCACGCCTGCCTCGCACCCAGCACGCCCATCCTTTGCATTTCTATGTTAGGAAACATCAGTGCAGAGTGATTTAAAAAGCTGGATTAGTGTATTTAAGGGGCCTCACGTGAAGGCGGGAGAGCAGGGTCCTCAGGGGCGCTGGCGACGCTCGCGGCTGTCCGGCTTGCCGGTCCCGGGGCCGCGGTTTGAGGCCTGCCTTTGAGCCTCCTTCCAGGTGGGGCGGTCGGAAGGTTCGTGACATCACGTGCACTGACGGCGGGCGGGAGCGGCGTCGCCTCACTTTGTATTGATTTCCTCCTTCAAAGCACATTTGCGATTTGGGAGCCTTGGAAACGAATCGATAGAGTTACGTTTCCATGTAAAGAGCAAAACGTTAGTAGTAGACTCATGTTAAATGCCCCTGAGTGACCGCCTCATTAAGTGTTGAGCAGAGTGCAACCAGCACACCAGCTGTCCTGTCCGGCAGGGACGCCATAGGGACGGGTCAGGCTCTGGCCCCGGGTGTCCCATCCAGGAGCAGAGCACACACCCAGCTTGTAATAATCGTGGGAAGGTGTGCATGTCTGCAGAGAAGTACAGTCATCCCAACACTTCCCAGGGAAGATCGGTCACGCCCCAGATCACAAAATCTGGCTTGGTTTTGGTCTTGTTTTGAAGACACAAGTTTCCTTTCACTGGGGAGACTATGTTACCACTGCAGCCCCAGCCCACTGCGTTCAGGATCAGAGAATGTTCCGTGGTGGGGCTGGGGGGTGGCATGCCAGGCCAGACCTTATGGGATATGGTGGCTGAAACGAGCAGGATGAGAGGGAAAGCCCACCAGGCAGCATGCGGATAGTCAGGGGGCAGATTCACAGGGCAGGCGATCACTGCGCCGGAACGTTCCAGCCCTGCTCACGCCCCCACTGATGCCCACGGAGCACGAGCTGTGCAGCCTGCAGGCACTCACATCTGGTGGATTCTGACTTAGGACAACCCCCGAGCACGTGTCCCTTTGGCTCTGGGAGTGGGCTGCAGGGAGTGAGGACGTTAGCATCTCTTGAACTTCGGGCTTTGTGAGTTTCACAGTCCACGGAGCGCAAGTCACCACCAGGAGTTTGAACCACATGCATGATCTCTGAGTACTAGCTATGCTTTGCGCTTTATAAGGGCCTACGGCTTTGCCCCTGAGATCTCGAGCTTAACCAGGAGCTCGATTAAGAGGCAAGACAGGTGGGGCAGGAATTGATGCAGACGACAGGTGTATGCGGTCAGAATGCAGAGGACAAAGACCTTACCGCCACCACCAGGACAGCATCAATCTTCATGTTTTACATGATGGGCTGGATCTTGATAGAAAGACAAGAACACACATAATTTAAAAGCAATTATGGGGGGGGTCGCCTGGGCAGCTCTGTCGGCTGAGCATCTGACTTTGGCTCAGATCATGATCTCACAGTTCATGGGTTTGAGCTCTTCGTCGGGCTCTGTGCTGACAGCTCAGAGCCTGGAGCTTGCTTCAGATTCTGTGTCTCCCTCTTTCTCTGCCCCTCCCCTGCTCATGCTCTGTCTTTGTCTCTCAAAAATAAATAAACTCTAAAAAAAAAAGCAATACAGCTTGATTGATTATAAGCTATTGGTAACTCTTTATAAATATGCTCTCAAGTGTGTCTGATTATTGTCACTCCTCTGGGAAGCAAGCTCTATCCATGTTTTCACAGTGTAAAGTGGCCAATGATACAGCCAAAGGATTTTAGCCTCTTGAAATAGAAATCGGAAGAGAAGAAATGATGAATCAGTTAATGGCCTTCTGCTTAACGTTTCCAACAAGAACAACAACTCATATATATGAGATATATATATCACAGACATATATATGAGGGAGAGAGAGCATGAAGGGGGTGGGGAAGAGAGAGAGAATCCCAAGAGGGCTCCATGTTGCTTGATCTCGCAAACCGTGAGATCATGACCTGAACCTAAATCAAGAGTCAGACATTTAACCAACAGAGCCACCCAGACACCCCAACACAAATACATTTCTTAAGTTAAAATATAAGTCCATGCTTATTATCTCAAAAATATGTCAAATTACTAAAAAAAAAAAAATTAGAAATTGAATTTAACATTCAATTTTCCCTTGGAAAATTTTTTATCAATTTAAAAATGAGGAAAAACATCAATAAAAATAAACACAATTGTATGGTCAAAATGGTGCTGTGCTTGAGTATTAGATAAATTATCTAAGGGAAATCTGATTTATGAAATGGAGTCTAAAATTTGAAAAACCCCAATATTAGCAGCAGATATATCTCATCCCAGATTAAAGACTTTATTTTACATTAAAAAGTAGCTCCTTTTTCAAATTACAAATGTAATAAGTACACGTTATGGGGAATTTGGAAAAATAATATCTTACATCACAATAAAATTGCCTGTTCTACCATTTGAAGGGGGGGAACCACAATGCTCTGTGGATTTTGTTTCAATCTTTTTATTCTATGCAGTAGTATTGGTATAATGTAGCATATTGGTGATTCTCAGTGTAGAACAGACATTAAAACCCACAAGCAGGGGCACCTGGGGGGCTGAGTCGGTTAAGTGTCCGACTCTTGGTTTCAGCTCAGGTCACGATCGCACGGTTCCGGAGTTTGAGCCCCACATTGATCTCTGTGCTGATAGTGGGGAGCCTGCTTGGGATTCTTTCTCCCTCCCTCTCTCTGCCCTTCCTCTGCTCTCTCTCTCTCTCAAAATAACTAAATAAGCTTAAAAAGAACTCCCACAAGGGAACTTTTACTAAACGCAGAGGTGCAGGTAATTTGACACATTGCTGGGGAAGCCAGGGTTATTTATACGCGTTTTCTCTTATCGTCATAAACATTTTCCAAGGTCCGTAAATATTCTTTAGATTGTGTTTGTTTAAATGGCTGTATAGTTTTCCATTGGGTGAAAAAAAAACCCTACAATTAATTTTTCCCTTCTCTTGTCCTTGAACATTTGGGACCTACTATTTTACAATTAATAATTCTACAACAAATGCCCTTATATCCACAACTTTGCTCATTTCATTCTCCTTAGATTCATAGAGCCAGAATAGATGGGTCATAACATTTGAAATTGTTAAGCTTCCTGGTAAGTATTGTCAAAATTCCTTCTGGAAAAGTTGCCTAAATTCATATTCTCTTACTGATGGAGAATGTCTAGGTTAACAGATCCTGTCCAAAGAAGATGCTTATCAAAACACAATAAAAAGCAAATAAATACAACTTTTTCACTGATAAATTGATTTCTCATCATTTTGATATACACTTTGAATTCTAGAGAGGTTGAATATTATCTGACATATTTGTCATATATTTAAAAAAATGTTTATTTTGAGAGAGAGAGAGAGAGAGAATGGGGGGAGGGTGAGGGAAAGAGGCAGGGAGAAAAAATCCCAAGCAGACTCCCGGCTGTCAGTGCAGAGCCCGATGTGGGGCTCCAGCTCAGGAACCGCGAGATCATGACCTGAGCATAATAAAAATCATTAGATGAATTAATGTTTTTTTATGTATAATGCAAATGTTTTGTTCTAATTTTCATGTGTTTGTAATTTTGTTTATTGAAAATTTGACATCTAGACAGCCTACCTTTTTTAGGTATAAAAGCGGTTCCTGTTTTGCTTCTGGGTTCTTTGTTTTTGTGTGTTAAGAAGGTAGACTTTCTCTATCAAAAGATCACATAAATACTCACTGACGTTTGTTTGTTTTTTATATGACTTCTTTAGTTATTATATGTAAGTATATTATTATAATAATATTTATACACTATAGTTATTATCTGTAACATGGTTATCATATACATATGATATATGTATACTATATATATAATCTCTTCATAGTTGTTAATAAAATGATGTTCTATCTTTTTATTAAAATAATTTTTTTAATGTTTATTTTTGATGGAGAGAGAAAGAAACAGGGCATGGGCAGGGGAGGGACAGAGAGAGAGAGACACAGAATCCGAAACAGTTCCAGGCTCTGAGCCATCAGCACAGAGCCCGATGCGGGGCTTGAATGCATGAGCTGTGAAATCATGACCTAAGCTGAAGTCAGATGCTTAAACAACTGAGCCCCCCAGGCACCCCTAATGATGTTCTTTCTTAAATGGTCCCTTGAGTAACTGATGTATTTTGCATAGTGACTGAGTCAAACAGGGTTTTGGAGGCATACAGTCCAGGACTCTCATTAACCATTTATGTGAAGGTGCCCAGTGCAGGCATATGGAAATTAGGTGCATGCAAATATCTTGCAAACATAATTTTTCTTTTGAGGTTTTCAATTTTAGCAAGTTGGAGTGGATCTCTTCAAGGTGGGAAGTAATGAGATGGATATTTGCACTTACAATTGAACTTCTACAGAAGGTCTGGCCTTGCCAAGGACTCTATGAAGACCACGTGCAGGCCAATGTCATCAGCTCACGTTGGCCACAGCTGTGGTTGACCTCGACCTACCTTGAGCTCCATGGTGAGGGGCCATGCAGGTGCTTATCTGAAAAATTTGCCCCAAATTACCTTTTGTTGTTAAAGAAGACAAGGGCTTTTTTCTTTCCTCTTTCTTGTGCAAGCCCACATTTTTGGCATGTTTACTCTTAATGTTCAAGGATAACCAGTGGGCTTTGCTGGGGACACTGTGTGGGGTCCCCTCTATTAATTATTAACTGTAGTCACCTGTTGGGGAGCTGGGAAGCTAGCTGGTGGCGTCTGATCACATGAGCGCATGACCTGTTGTGAAATCAAATTGAAATTAATATTTTTAGACATTCAGAGATGAATCATTAAAAACACGGATTAGGGTAATTTCAAAAATCTCAAAAATCAGTGACTGGTGGAAAGTCCAAGAGGTCAAAGTCCATGCCGACTCTGTGCTGTGTCGTGGGCTGGACATTAGGAGGAAAGTAAACCCACACTTACTGCCAACAACATTCCGGTTTCACCAGCCACTGCTTGACAAGGGAGAGCGAGACCAGAGTGTTAGAGAGAGAAGCACATTCACTTAAAAATGACTATGATGTCATATAGGAATATCAAGAGGGTAATTCGGTAGAATTCCCAATGCAGGACTGATTTGAAAGTGTTCTCCATTTTCACAATCTTTGAATAGTTAAAGACGCTGATTTTCATGATCAGATCTTATGTAAACCTCCATACTTGCTGGATTTAACTCTTCTTTTCCATCAGCTATTTTAAAAAGGTAACGTGAATTTTCAAAATCAGAGCACTCTCCTTTCTGACCCAGCATTAGCATTAAAAAATACATGAATATCTGAACTGTTCTCTTCATTATGCTTTCAAAGGAAATGTACTTTAGAGATTTAAATGAATTACTTCTTTTAAAGGGGTGAAAAATTCCCTGGTACCTAAAAGGGAAAAAAAAGGTGAAATTGCTATTTGGTAGAGTAGCTTTTATTTGATTTGAAACACAACATTCCGGGGCTTCCTTCTGAATTTATAAAATGTGTCTGAAGAAGAGCTTTTTGAAAGATGGGCTCTTTTTACACTTCAGGCAAAGATGGCTGCTGGCCTGGGAGAGAGAATGACGCTGTGAATTAATTCATGTTTCTTTACCTTCCATCCCAGAGCGCGACGTTCTATTTCTGCCCCAGCTGAGAGTGGGGCGGGGGGGTGGGGTGCTTAAAGCCGGAACTTCCCATATCACCTGGTCTTAAAGTTCAAAGCGGATGAACACCCTCCCATCTTTTCCTCTTTTCCTCCCTAGCTCCTTCCTCCCTTCCACCTTGCGCTTGTCGAGAACCCAGTGCCTGCCAGGCAGTGCGGTGATCTCTGAGGACCTCAGGAATTTTCCATTTGGTCCGGGAGAGTCAGATGAGCACCACAGAGAGTGTAGGTCAGCGTGACTGTCTAGGTTATGCCACCATCCACCTCACAGCTGAGAAAACCTTCTCTTCAACACGACCCATCCCTCCATCCATTTATGCGTTCACAGGTGCATCTGCATTCATTTCTTGAGAACTTCAGAGGGGTGTGGCAGATGCTATTTTGCAAAGACAGCCACACCTATTTATTTAGTTCCTGTCACATACTCTCTTTTCCCGGAGCTTATCATGGACATTCCTCCCCCGGGAGGTGGGGTCACTGTTTCCTCCCTTCAAATCCTTGTGGGGTCTTGTTACTGTGCTGACTGGTGCATTCTGGTGGGAGTGAGGCTGTGTGACTTTCGAGGCGAAGTCATCAAAAGGAGAAATCTCCTGCCTGGTGCTCTCTCTCCATCAGGATCCTCATCCTGGGAATGTGGCCGCCATGTTGTGAGGAAGCCCAGGCCACATGAATACACCACGTGTGGCTGGGCCCCAGCTGACACTAGCTGGCAGACATGAGGTGTAAGAGCCTTCAGATGATTCCAGCCCCAGACCTCACAGACATCCGGCCATGCCGCCTCTGTATTCCTGACCCATAGCAACAGGAGTGATGGTAACGATCACCGTGGCTTCTAAGCCACTGCATTGCAGGGTGACCTGTTATGCGGAAATGCAACACCAACACAAAGCAGATATACGATCTTTTAAACAGTTTGTCTTCTGGAAGCTTAGACTTTGGTTGTAGGCAGAAGATACACTTGTGAGACAGAGAATAATATGGGACTCACCTACCAAATAATTCAGAACACGTTGCCCTGAGTGTGCAAAGGGGTAGATCAAAGTCAGCTGGTGTTTGGGAAAGGACGTAGTTTGCAGTGTAACCGAGGAGTACTGGGAATCCACCCAGAGGACAAGCAACTCTGGTTAACGCTTGAACGATGACATATTAGAGCTTTTAGAGAATCGTGGTCTTTTTTAGTCACAAGAGGGACTCACTGATGGTGGGTGCTTCACACACATTCACTCCGCTCTCACAGCCAGCCGGTGAGGTGATTATTCTCACCCCTATTTTACTGATGCCAAAACCAAAAGTTAGTAAAGATTTGTTAATTTTCACCAGGTTGCACAGTGAGTAACAGAGACAAATGCAAAGTGACAAATAGGGTGCTCAGGCTGTGAAGGGTGTTACAAGCCCAGATGAGCAGGATGGTGCAATGCTCGCGAGGCCAGGGGTTCTCCAAGTGTGGCCCAGGGTTCCCTGAGGATCCCTTTCAGGGTCCTCTAGATCCAAGTTTGCAAAGTAATAGTGCATGTGAAGAGAAAGTGGTATCTGTAAGGAAGCTGTGTGTGGACACGAGCAGTGGTGGGGACAGCCCCCAAAGCCTCAACAGGAATCAGGCTGTGGACTCCAAACGTGCAGTGGTCACTGGGGTCATCACACTAAGGGACTGCGGTCAAAAATGGCCAGTGTCACTTACAAGCGCCAAGAAGTGAAAACTTACTCGATGGAGACTATTGACAGAGTCCGCAGGGATCTTCAAAATGCTCTGCTGCATGCGAAGCCTGTGGATGGACGTCTCCAGAAGGCTCAGGCCACGAAGCTGAAGGAGTCACTTTTCCATTTTCACTCAGAACAAATGACAGAATCATCCGGGTACTTGGCAGACGTTTTCCAGAAAATGAGTAAAGGAGGCTGTCTCTTCAGAGCAAAATCAGTGACAGTATTTCTTGGCAAGGACAAAATTTGAAGTTTTGTGTGAAAAATACAATTTTGAATACTTGTATTCTTCACCACGAGCTTGACGATTTCCCAATACTGAAAGACATTTTTTAGTAAAAGATCGGTGGTAACGGTAACGTCTGTGACTTTTAATACCACATGAAATATGTCAGCATCTGAGAGATCTGTAAACCTCAGCGAATCAGAATGTTCCACATGACCCCTGCATGGCATTATGAAACCTTGTGCGAGGGGAAGGTCCATTCAAAGCACAAGGCAGGCCCATGAACTTCGACGTTTGCGAGTATGAAAAGCTCACTGATATGCTTCCAGATTCCATGTTGCAGCAAATCGTTAAGAAATAAACACTTATCTAGTTTTGCTGTATTATCAAAGGACAATACCTATAATGATCTGAAAAGGCTATTACAGCACCTTTCCCTTTCTGGATTCAACCACAGCAACACACTGTGATAGACAGAACGTGAAAGTAGACCTGAGTCCAGCTTTCTCCTGTTAAGCCAGACATTAAAGACACTTGCAAACATAGTTTTCTGATACGTTTTTCACCATTGTATTTTTGCTTTGTTTTGGAAAAGACATGTTCTTACAGAACAATGTTATTTATGTTCCTATGAAATGGGGTCACTTTTATTTTGAAGGAACGAATACATCATTTGAATAGGTCACAGTTTTAATCTCAGAGGCTGCCAGTATCGTAGAAATGACCCACATTAAACAAATCTCTGGGGTCCTCTATAACTGGTAAGGGTGAAGTGGGTCCTGGGTCCCAGAGGCTTCAGCCCTGCCGCTCTCAGTGCGAGGAAGGCTTCGAGGCCTGTTCGCGTGGTGGGAGAGTAGCACTGCGTCCCAGCGCAGGTAAGGGCCGCGGTGCGGTGGGGCCGGCCGGCCGAGGGGGGCGCGGGAGAGAAGGGTAAGCCCTGCCCCAGAGGCGGAGACACAGAGCTTGAATAACAGACGCCCGGTAAGGGAAGGAAGAACGTGGAAGTTCGTGCTGGTTAAGTCTATACGCCGACTTGGCCAGGCTACGTCTCCTGCCACTTGACCCTCCCATTGTCCCCGCTGCAGAGTCACGGCCGACGCCCCGGGTCTGTATGCCCGAGCGCGGGTGGGCCGTGGACTATCAGGTGCCGGAGCGGGGACCCGAGTTGTCGCCTTCCGCACCAGGCGGCGGCCGGGCCTCGGTGCAGGGGCAGGGCGGGGCGGGGCCTCTGCGAGGAGCGCGAGGGCTCCGAGCTCCGCCAGGAGCAGGTCGCTACGCGGACCCGCCACGCAGTTCCTCTGCTTCCCCCCGGAGACATGAGGAAGGCCGGGGTGAGGAGGCCCCCGAGCCCCGCAGCCCCCGCCAGGCCGCCCGCACCCCCAAGCGTTCCGGAGCCTGTGTTTCGGCTGTGCCGGCGCCTGGAGGCCACTCACTTCGTCACTGAAACCCAGCAGGAGGCACGACCGTTGCCCACCTCCCGCTCCAGCTCCTCCCTGGACACGCGGGGCGGGAGCGCGCATGCGCGTGAGCCGCTCCGCCCTCGACGGCGGGAAACGGCGGGAAACGGCGGGGCCCGCTCGGCAGCGCCCCGGTGACGCTTTAGCGGTTGGGGGAGGGGCGCGGGACATGTTTCCGAATCGTCAGGCCGCGTCCGTGTTTTGATCTCTCAGCTGGTTCTTCGTCCCGTTTTGTAACCTACGGTTTACGCGGTTGTGGATTCACGGCTTGGGCAGAGCCCCCCAGGCTTGTGCGGTTTGCGCCGTTGTGTTCGCGTGTCCGTCAGGCCTGCTTTCCCACAGCACACGGGGCCGGGTCGCTGCCGGGGCCGTAAGCAGAGCCGGGCTGTCTGCCCACGAGCAGGCCCGGGCGCCCCAGGACTGCTGGAGTTCACTGCCGGGGGCAGGGGTGGCATCCCGACGGTCCGCGTGGCCTTGGGCGTCCACGGGGCGTCCCGAGAGGAGCGGGGGGGGGGGGGGG